TTAATTCACTCATCCGTGACGGGAAGAGTGAAGTGTAATCTCATCCTTCTAGGGCAGAGAGAGAAATTCAATATTTATTTACAAGTTATTTTCGAAATTTATTTATTATAAGAAGGTATCTTTCTTCTATATAAAGTTCAAATCTTTTTCCTTTCTTTAAGTGCATATTTTTTTTTCAACAACGGCTGCCGGTACAAGAAGCGCAATTAAACAAAGTGGTGCGAACCTTTTACCATACGAATTAATTACAAATGCACCAACAAGAATACGTAAGAGAAGCATACAAAATATATCACCTAGGCAAGAAATGAACCAACCTCGATAGAACCACGACAATTCGATTCAAGTCAAAAAGAAGCAACGAAGATAATAACCGAATTATTGGGTGAATCGAATGACCTTAGCATTGATGAATGGCTATTTGATTTAACCAATTTATTTTCGATAATGAAATTAAAAGATGGATCGAAAATTTTCGAAACAATGGGCAAATTAACAGTGCCAGTATTATGATGGTATCAAGAAAATTTACAGTCATTTACTAATTGTGACGATGCTGAAAAAGCATTACGAGATCGATTTAAAGAATTTACATCGCATAGTCAATTAATGGAAGAATTTTTTCAAATTAACCAAGAAGAAAACTAATCAGTTACATCTTTTTATGAAAACGTTATTCGGAAATATAGAAAAGCTAAGCAAGTTATTACTGAACAACAAGTTATTACGGTCTTACAAAATGGTATGAAAAGTTCATTAAAAAAACATTTAATTCGGAATGAAAAAGATATTTCGAAACCAGAAAAATGGTTGCAATATGCAAGAGAGGATGCATATATACAGAAACGAATTCAACAACAATGCAGTAATTTTTATTATGAAACAGAAGACGAACCATTCTTGGAATCTACGTTACCAACTACGACAATCCAACCAAGATTACCATTTACTCAAGCATCGAGTCAACACACAACTAAACCACATCATCAAAAACAATATCAACGACTACGTCTAATATTAAACAATCGACCAAGTCAACAACAAAATTATTATCAAAATTTGAAACAAGATCGTCGAAATTATTCAGAAAAGAAAGTGCAGCAATCAGATTCATGTTTAATTTGCAATCGAAAAAATCATCCAACAAGCAAATGTTTTTATAAGAAGGACAACGGCTGGTTTAAATGTGGACAATCAGGTCATCGAATACACGATTGCCCTCAACGACATTTTTTCGAAGGAGAGGGTCGAATGATGGCGATGATCTCTGTGGAGAAAAAACCTCATCAAACACAACAACAATTACTCCTATCTTTGTCAAAGTATTATGCAATAACATTCCACAAGAAGCACTTATAGATACTGGATTGGCCATCACTATAATACATGAATCTTTATTAAACAAGACTCCACACAAAACATTAACACCCAAAACAAAAAATCACTTATCAGCCAATTGTTCAATATTAAATATTATTGGTGATATACCATTAGAAATTAACATTGATGGTATAAAAACAAAGGTGATTGCTGACGTTACAACAAATCTGGTTACCGATTTAATATTAGGTAGTGATTGGATCCAACAAAATAATGTTTATATTTTAACACCAGAAAAACGAATTATGACTAAAAGTCGAGGTGAAGAAGTGTCAACTCCTTTTGTAAAACCACCTCTTCTAGATTATACAGCTACTCTGATTAATTATACTACTCTTCCTCCTTTTTCAGAAAAAATAGTAGAAGCAAAAGTTCAACTCGACAATATGACTGATGTATTATTTGGACCAAATCCTCGATTAAAGAATAAAGCATTATTTACTGCAAATGCACTACTCAATATTGAAAACAGAAGAATAAGAATTAGTATAATTAATGCAACCAATCGACAACAAACGCTTTCCGAAGGAATCAAATTAGGTATAGTGACACAAGTATCTTCTACAATTGGTGTCACCATACCATCAAATTATTTAACAGAACGCATTCCGGAAGGAAAAGCGTGTAAAAAGCTCATTCCTGAAGGGAAAGGAGCGAATAAATCAAACAAATTAAATTTTAATAATATGCTGACTACAACATTACATGGGAAACAACATCAATGTCGTGAATGTTATCGAAATTTTAATACTGGCAATGAATTATTTAAACACCTTAGAGACAAATGTTATCCTGAAGAAATTAGACAACAAACAAATAAATTAACTGAACATATTAGTGATGATAAACAACGAGAACAAATTTTAAAAATTTTATGGAAATATGGAAAATTATTTGACATTAGAAGACCATCAAAAACTGATATTGTTTTAAAAAATGCTGTCAATACTGGTACACATCGACCAATTCACACTCCACCATATAGAAAATCCAACAAAGACCAAGAAATCTTAAGAATAGAAACAGAAAAATTATTAAAGAATGGAATTATTGAACATTCAACATCTCCATGGTCTTCACCAGTTGTATTAGTCAAAAAGAAAGATGGAACAACAAGATTTTGTGTCGATTATCGTCGCTTAAACCAAATTACAACAAAAGATGCTTTTTCATTACCAAGAATTGATGATATTTATGACCAATTAACAAAAGCAACATATTTTACAAAATTCGATTTCAAAGTAGGTTATTTTCAAGTACCATTAGACAAATAAGATCGACCAAAAACAGCATTTTCAACTCGAGATGGACATTTTCAATTTAAAGTATTACCGCAAGGCCTTACTAATGGACCACCAACATTCCAACGTATTGTTAATCAAATATTGAGTCCGAATAGATGGAAACATGTACTCGCCTATATCGATGATATTATTGTTTACTCACAAAATTTTAATGAACATTTAAAACATATTGAGGAAGTATGTTCATTATTACAGGAAGCAAATTTTAAATTAAATGTTGAAAAATGTGAAGTTGCAAGAACAGAAATATTATTTCTTGGACATGTAATTAAAACTGGTACTATTAAACCTGATCCAAATAATATTCGTGGTCTGGCTGATACAAGAGAACCAACATCAGCTGAAGAAGCATTTAGATTCGTCAAAGCAGCAGAATATTATAGAAAATTTATTCCAAAATTTTCCATAATTGCTGCACCGTTGCATAAATATTCTCCAGCAATATTACAACAGCAAAAGAATAGCAAAAAATTAAAATTTGAACTATCTGCCGAAGCCAGAACAGCATTTCACCAACTCAAGGAAATTTTAACAACCAATCTTATGCTTGATTTACCTGACAATACATTACCATTTAAATTACAAACTGATGCCTCTGTAGATGGAATTGGCGCTGTTCTATTACAAATTACTCCCAACGGTGATCGACCATTAGCATACATGTCAAAGAAATTAACGAAAACACAAACTAATTGGCCAACAATCGAACAAGAATGTTATGCAATAGTACAAGCAATAGAAAAATGGGACAAATATCTTCGTGGACATGAATTTATATTAGAAACTGATCATGAATCATTAGTTTATTTTGCAAACAAAGAACAGTTAAATAAAAGATGTGAACGATGACGATTAAAATTAGCTGAATATCGACTCAAGGTGAAATACATTCAAGGCAAGAAGAACAATATGGCAGATTATCTTTCAAGATCACCAGTCGAAGTAGCTGAAGAAGATATTGAAGAACGAACTCCATATGAATCAACATCAACACAAACAGATTTATTATTTTCACTATTAAATAATAATTTAATTCCATTAAAAATAACAACAGCAGTTATTAGAGCTCAAGCCAAATTACAACAACAAGCAACGGCAACACCATCTAGTAAACCAACAGATGAGAAAATTAAAGAGCTCGTTCCACTAGGGATAGCAGCGACTAATGAAGAACTGATAATCAAACAATCAAATGAAAATCCAAACAAAATCATCCCATTTGATATGGATGATTTAAGAAAACTTCAAGAAGAGGACAAAACAATCGAAGAAATAAAAAAGAACATTAAGAATAAAAAACATTATTTCATCAAAGATGGAACATTATTTAGAAAACAACAACCACCACGTCCACCAGTGCCATACGTTCCCGCAGGACGAATACGTGGTGATATATTAAAAATTTATCATGATACACCTGCTAATGGAGCTCATTTTGGACGTGATAAAACAATAAGGAAAATTCAAGAACGTTATTATTGGCCAACAATGATAGCTGATATTAGAAATCATATTAATTCACGTTTACCATGTGCACAAAATAATTATCGTCGTTAAAAATTACCAGGAAAATTAAAACCAATACCACCACCTGAAGGAATATGGAAATTATTAAGTATGGATTTTCATGGTCCAATAACTCCAACATCAAAACAAGGAAATAGATATATTATATGTGTTACGGGCTCGCCCTTCACATCATTTTCCACTCTATTCTACCTGTCTAGGTCTCTCTCATTTTCTTTCTCTTTTCTTTATTTTCCTTTCTTATAGTTATATCATTTGTACTTGATTCTATTTTCTTTTGATCTATGATGACTAGATATATCTTTTTCTTTGTTAACAGAATATCTAGTCATCCACCGCTACGTATGTACATGTTTTTCCCTGGATAGAAGAAAATATATATATACGTGTGTGCGGACATTTTCATGTTATGTATGGGGTCAGATTTATGTTTTGAAATAAAAAGAAAACAGTAAAAAGAATAAATAAACTTTATTTTATTTCATCCCTAATA